CCCTCCCACCCCAACCACTCCAGTAACACTCAGTTTGTTTCCTGAGATTAAGAATTCCTCATAGGACTGGTTCCTAATACAGAGCTGGGGGAAATACTTAGGTAGTCATTCGTGAGTTTTCCGAAACAACCCTGGATCTCCTTTCCTATGGACACAGAACTTCTGGTCGAGCAGAGTTCTCTGACTGGCTCTCGCCAGTGGGTTTGCTGAGGGAATAAGTGGTGGCAGGTCTTCTAGGTGAGGGATGAGGTGAGGTTCTGTGCTCTCTACGGTCTTGGGGAAGGAGGTAGGCGCATGAGTAAAGAGAGGGAAGAAATGGCTGCCATGGGGACGGTGACAGGCCATGTTGTGTGAGCACCAAGATGGATGGCTGAGTCTGCCGACATTTGTAATGGAGCGCCAGACGTACCTCTATTGGCCTTTTGAGGTAGATGAGCTTTTAGGGATTCATTCTTCAAAAGAGAGAGTTCCAGTGTTCCCTCTCTCCAGTGGCAAATGGAAGTGCTCATTTCCCAACATCCTCACCAGCACAGTGTATCAGAAACCTTTTCATCGTGGTTAATCTGATATGTGAAAGATGGTGTCTTCAGTAATTTTATTGTATAATTTTTTTAAAGATTTTATTTCTTTATTTGATAGAGAGAGACACAGGGAACAGAAGCAGGCTTCCTGAGGAGCAGGGAGCCCGAAGTGGGGCTCGAACCCAGGACCCTGGGATCATGACCTGAGCCAAAGGCAGAGGCTTAATGGCTGAGCCACCCAGGTGCCCCAGTAATTTTATTTTATGTTCCTCTTATTTTGGGGGTGAAGATCATTTTTATATGTTTAAGAGCCATTTATATTATCTTTTACTGTAAACTGGTCAAGTAAGGAATTACTTTCTTGATCTTAGTAAAATGATAGTAACACTATTAGGCTCTGAAGGCCTTTCTATCAAGGCAGTGAAGGGATTTGAGATGGGAGGGTGACTCAGTCTCAGTCAGACTGAGAAATTGACCAAATGACCCTAGTCCTTGGGCATGCAGGGAATCCTCACCCTAAAGATGGATCCTATGGGTAGATTCTATAAGAAATGTAAAGAAAGTGCAAAGTGGTGGTTCCTGAGAATAAGGACATGGACCTTACTTGGAGCTGAGGGTGAACCCAGGCATCGGGGAGATGGGGCCAGGCCTGGCTAAGAGGCCTGAAATCTTCCTTCCTGGTCTCCTGAAGCAGCTTTCCTAACCAGTGCTGCAGAGGTGGGAACCCACCTTGGGGCCCCGGGGGCTGGGTGCCCCAGGGGGCGTGTCAGCCGGCCTTCCTTCCTTCTTCCTCTGCCTGGGCTGGCATCTCCAGACTGGGGCCCACTAGGAGAATGCTTCCCTAACAACATGTGGTGAGCATCTTTAAAGTTTTGTTCCAATACCCAATCTCTTGTGGACGATATTCTGTGACATACATGAAAAATGATTTCCTAGAAAAATAAAATACAAGAGTCACATAAAATAGAAGCTGAAGTTGTTTATTAGGAGAATCAATAGACATAGAATTCCTATGTCACACTGCAGTAAGTTTCTAAATGCTACTGAAATTTTGTTCTTAAAAGTAGTTATGCTTTAAGCAACAGGGCTTTAGAACAGATATTATTTTCCATTTCCCCCTCTTAGAACAGATATTATTTTCCATTTCCCCCTCTTTTATTTCTCATCGCCTTTGCTCCAGCTCCCCACCCCAGAGCTGAACCAGTCCATTTATTCGGCAACGTTTGCTCGTGCCTTCCCCTCCCACAGACGGTCTATGAGGCCACTTTATAAACAGAGGCCCTTACCCACACGGGATGGAGAGGAAGGGAACATAGTGGAAATACGGCTTTTCTTTTTTCTTTTTGCTTTGACATTTATCTGCCCCATTTCCTGACCCCAGAATCTTATTTTCGTCATGATCTCGCATTGTTGAGTTTTCACAGAGTCCTGAGAGGCTTACACCTAACCGAGAGAAAGTATATTTCCAAGAGGAACATTTAGACCTGATGTTTTTATGTAAAACCCTTGGCTTTCATATGTAAAATTATGGGACTTTTTTTTTTTTTAAGGTGGTTAATTCCACCATCAAGTAGATTGTACTTACTTGAGTTCAAACAGCTTTAAAAAAAAAAAAACCTGGGTGTTATACGCAAACAATGAATCATGGAACGCTATTATCAAAAACTACTGAAGTACTACTGTATGGTGATTAACATAACCTAAAGCAAAAAACAAGAGAATGTGAAAGTCACTCTCTCTCCCATGAAGTCCACAGATAAACCGCTGACTCCGAAGAAGAGCAGAAGACTCCTCATTTGTTCTTCTCCTGGGGTGGACTCTGCAGGGATGATTTCCGACCTCACTGAGCGATAGCTTGTCTCTGTCTGTCTCTCAGGATATGTTTCTGGAGTCCATGGCATCAGTCAGCTGCTAAAGGCATTTCTACGGAAGACAGAATGTCATTGTCAGATTCTAAGTCTTGGGGCTGGGATGGATACCACCTTCTGGAGATTAAAGGTAAATGAAAATTCCCCTTCTACTTTCCCACATTGTTTCATCTGTGAAGGTGCCTGCCTGGTTCAGAAATGTTAAAAATATATTCAGAAGGGGGACGCCTGGGTGGCTCAGTCGGTTAAATTTCTGCCTTTGGCTCAGGTCATAATCCCAGGGTCCTGGGATTGAGTCCCGCATTGGGCTCCCTGCTCTGCGGGGAGCCTGCTTCTCCCTCTGCCTCTCTCTCTCTCTCATGAATAAATAAATAAAATCTTTAAAAAAATATATATATTCAGAAAGAATGCAGTGATTGCCTGTCTTGTGCCCCTGTCCCTAGCTGCTTGCACCTGCTGCCACCATCAGCCACATACGTGATGTCACCAGGGCCTCAGTGAAGCAGAGGTGCTTGGCTTCTCATCCTTTGCTGTTACAACAGGGGTTATGATAAAAATCCTTGTAGACATGTCCTCTGCACGTGTGGAAGAATGCTGTCAGTGGAATTGTGAGACCCTGAGCCCCTGCATCTGCCATATTGACGATACGAAGAGGTTTTTTTTTTATTATGTTATGTTAATCACCATACATCACATCATTAGTTTTTGATGTAGTGTTCCATGATTCATTGTTTGCGTATAACACCCAGTGCTCCATGCAGAACGTGCCCTCTTTAATACCCATCACCAGGCTAACCCATCACCCTACCCCCTCCCCTCTAGAACCCTCAGTTTGTTTTTCAGGGTCCATAGTCTCTCATGGTTCGTCTTCCCCTCCAATTGCCCCCCCTTCATTCTTCCCCTCCTGCTATCTTCTTTTTTTTTTTTTTTTAACATCTAATGTATTATTTGTTTCAGAGGTACAGATCTGTGATTCAACAGTCTTGCACAATTCACAGCACTCACCGTAGCACATACCCTCCCCAGTGTCTATCACCCAGCCACCCCATCCCTCCCACCCCCACCACTCCAGCAACCCTCAGTTTGTTTCCTGAGATTAAGAATTCCTCATATCAGTGAGGTCATAGGATACATGACTTTCTCTGATTGACTTATTTCGCTCAGCATAACACCCTCCAGTTCTATCCATGTCGGATAACGAAGATTTTATTGTCATCATGACAGTGTCCTTGGTAGAGTTTGGGGATGTGCAAGGCTGGGTGATGGTGATAGGAAACAAAGGCCTTTTGTAGCTCTTCCCTGATTTGGTCCCTCACCTCCTCTGTTAGGGGGCAAGAACAGGTGTATGTAACTACTCTCATTCACAGGAAATGCGATGGGTCTGGTTAGTGGCAGAACCAGGACAATATGGACTGCAGCTCCTGCAAGTCCAGGTTCCTTCCCCGTTCTATATACAGAGCGCTGTGCTTGTTCAGGGGGGTCTTTGCAGTCTGTCGATTTGTGGTGCGTCTGTACCTCAGGCCCCACGTCTGTACCGTGTCATAAGTCATAAAGGCACACCCACAGCACTTACTAGGGCAGGTCCTGCTGGGAGAGTCTCTCGCGTGTTTATTTCCTCAGGAATCCTCACAACCCCGTGAAGTGCTGTCACTTTCTCTACTGTGCAGATGAGGAACGCTTGGCCCAGGGAGTTTAGTGACTTCTAGCGCCTCACAGCAGACACGTGGTGGAGCTGGAATCTGAAGCCCATTCCCCAGCTCCAGAGTGCCGGCCCTTTCCCCCCCCACCGTGCTCTCCTCTCACACTAAAAGTAGGTGTACCACAACACAGTGCTCACCCTCACCGTGCAGGATGCTTTGTGATATTAGCTGTTGTGTCCTATTTGATCCCCTAAATGCTGGTCCCAACCCCCCCCCAACATTGGTTTCCTGACCCTCCCTAATCTATCTCAGTCTGGGTTTTGGAAAAGTCTGTTAGGTCCTACTTCCCCAGCACCTCTCAGTGCCTCCCCACGTCCATCCCAGTGGCAGCTCCCCCCCCAAGTTCAGGCTCCCCGTGACTTCTTCCCCGGACCTTCTTCCTGGACAGCTGTGAGATCCTCCTAACTTTTGTCCTCCATCCGTTCTTCATGCGGAGACCAAAGTCACCTAAACAATACATTTCTGACCATATTTTTCCTAATTTAAGGCGCTAAGTACGGCTTTGCTATTTGGGGCCTAGTGTTCAGTACGTGAAGATGGTCAGTCCGTGTATGAGGGAATACAGAATTAGAAAACTTACTGTGTATCGTTCCTCAGGATGAAGATCTTCTCCCAAGTAAGTATCCTAAGGTCGGCTTTCCAATGATAGTCACGAGAAAGCTGCACAGCCTCAAGTAAGTGTGGCTTGGAGCAGAGGACAGAGCCGGCTGGATTCAGAGGCAGCGGTCAGTAGGGGGCTGGTCTGCATGCCGGAGACCTCATTTTAGGGGGCTCTCCTTGCACCCCCACACCGCTTTCTTGCTGGCCCCGGGATCCTCATTCCAACCTGTCGAGCAGTCCTTCCAAATGCAGTAGACACCCTCCGTTGGGACTGTTCTGTCCATGAACGTCATTTCTCTGAACCTTAAAAAGAAATGACCTACGATAGTTTAATCGTTGGAATTGTTCTGTGTCTTTTGTGTACTTGGATATCTCCAGGGCATAGAGAGGTGCCAGGCCCAGAGCAGATGCCAAGTAAATATTGTTCGTGTGAATGACGAGGAGGCTGAACTTAGTCATTTACTATACCTGAGACATTCCGGGGGCAACCCTGAGGCCAGGTTTTAAAAAGTTTGCAGACTTGTAGAGGATGAGTTTGTGAATCTCTGCTGGGACTTTTTGTAGCACCACGTGAAATGCTTCAGTTGGATCATCATTCAGTGCTCAGAGCAGACTCGTGAATTCTGGGGGGGAAACCGAGGCTCAAATCAGTGAATCGAATTTCCGTCAGGGCACCTGTGGATGAAGGGGTGGGGCTGAGATCTAAACCCTGGCCTCAGTTCAAGGTTTCTCAGTGGTTTTACTGTACTCCATTCCCTCTTTTTAAATGAGTGATTTCAATAAAATGTCAAGTCTTACATTAAAAAAATTTTTAGTGAACCTAAAAGTTTCAGCTTGTCCCTCACAGATGTCTGATTCTCATCATCTGGAAATAATTTTCAAGTATGAGGTTGTTCTACTTAACCTATAAAAACAAGGTTTTCACCCTTTCTAAATACGAGATTCTGTTACAGTAAATGTGCTTTTTAGTTGCCGTCTGGCATCTGAGGCTGTGCATCTGCAGAGGACATCCTAGCTTCTTGGAACCCCGAATGAAAAAGAGTAAGTGGGCTCTCACTTAAGCCCAGAGGTGGCTTCTGGGCTGAAAAATGCATTGGCCTTTGTGTATGGTTGTTGTGATAGAGGATTTGGCTCTCTGAGGTCTGATTTTTTGCATATTGTGAAGGAGGGGACTCATCACATAAATGTTACTGACTTCAGGTCTGAATAGGAGTCCGTTTTTCAGTTAACTGTGAGCAATATGCACTGTGTTAAACATTGTGTTGGAGAAGAGACAGGAGACTAGAGATGGCTCAGAAAACACTGCAACATTGGGAAAATTGTTGCTGACCTATCTTGGTCGAGTTCTGAGTCGTCAGTATCTGATGGTCAGATTGTGAGTGGACATCCGATATTGAGTGTCCTGCTTAGTGACCTCGCCTGAACCCCGATCCACTGAATTGTGAGTGCGTGTGCTGACGGCCAGATGTCAGGAAGCAGAAGGCCCTGTGCAGTGATGGCCCTTGCAGGATGTATTTGCCGTTTCTGGAGTGGGTGTTTGCAGTTTTGCTGAAACTGAGCTCCTGGACTCATTTCTCTCTCTCATCTTCCCACAGAGTCAAACCTTTCCTATCACAACCCATTATAGAATTACATTCAGAGGACCCACTTCAAATCGGCAAGTACCCTTATCCTATGTGGTACAGCACGGACTATAGAACTGTCTTTGCTTTTTTCCCCTTTTCCTTTTTAATGGGGGTGTGTGTGTGTGTGTGTGTGTGTGTGCGCGCGCGTGCATGTGTGTCAGAATGTGTGTGTGCGCCCATGATGTCACACAGCGTGTACTTCTGCTGATACATTTACGCTGCATCGCATTTACCATGAAGCAATTTAGAGCAGATGTCCATAGGTCCCCATTGTTAAACCTTTACAAGTGTGTTTCAGTGATTTGCAAATGGTGCAAAAATAGATTTTTTCCAGAATTTCTCCCTTTCCAGCTTTCTTTGGGAACATCCAGTCCGGCAACATCAGACCCTCCCTCCTACATGGCTGCTTCATGGAGGGGGGCAGTCACCCTCCAGTCTCACCCCCACTGCTCCCCGCTGTATGTACCTGACCTGTTCCACCTATTAGGTCACCTCCTTGGCCCCTGTGCTCAGGTTTTCCTCCTTCGCGTTTTAATTATGAGTGTTTCCAGCAACTCTCTGCTCAGTTCTAAGCCTTTTGAACCAAGGGAAGCCTCTTCCAGAATGTTCCATCGTTTCCAGTCTGTGTCTGGCAGAGTAGTTCAAGGGACTTATTGATAATTCAGGTCAGAAGACCTGCCCAGAAGGATGGCCTTCTTGGATGGTGGACACAGATCACACAGAAAATGTCAGACAACTAGACAGGCCTCTGTGCAACCACAGTGCCATAGTCATGCTCCTCGTGAAGAAACTCCTCCAGGTAGAACATCTCCCCCATCCTCTGTTTCCTCCTACAAATTATAAGTAGAACCTGTTCAGGCTTTGCCATGTGCTGGCCTAGCTGTTTTCTCCACACTGTAGCTACCCTGGTTTTCTATGTATTCGGTGAGTACTTGTGTCGGAATGATTACCTGTAATGAAAGAGCTAACACTTGGCATTACCTTTGATCCATCAGTACACAAATGTATGAAGTAGAAAGTAAAGACCCTTCACAATCTCTCCCTCCATCAAGATAACCAGCGTTCAGAGTGTTTTCTCCTGTGAAGGAACAGTGTACCTAGAGATGGATCAATATCACACATGAGAAAACACACACAAAAATAGAATCCAGTGCCTGGCACCTAGAAGGTTCGATAAATTTTTGTTGAAAGAATGTATATACACATTGAATAAATACATAGGTTGTAGTTAATATGTATCTGTTGAATGAGTGCATCTGTAGTTCTCAAAATAAATTGATCTATGTGTAAATTTAATAAAGTGAATAATTTACACATCCTGTTTTGTAACTCGCTCTTTCTGCATCCTTAGTGACTCGTGGCTGTCTTTGTGTCATCATATATACGTCTGCCTCATTTCTGATGGCTTTCTCGTTCTCCTTGGCATGGAAATTCCATTTTATTTAATGTATTCAGTACTGATGGTCCTTTAGATAGCTGCGTTTTTTATGGTTTTCTATTAAACAGTGTTGTAGAAAGCACAGGTACACATGCATATTTGCAGGAATTGCTGGTTCAAGGGATTGTCCCTTATGAATTCTAATAGCTACTGCCAAACTGTTCTTTGAGACCTTCTTCACTAATTTGTCTTTTCATGAGAGTAGATGAGGGTTCTTTTTCCCTACAGCCTCACTAGCACTGGCTATTACCATTTAAAAAAAATTTCTGCCAATCTGCCAAACCTATTAATCTAAAATTTTTAAATTAACTTTGAAACTGCTAATGTGATGGAGTATCTTCCTTCCTTTTTTGGCCTGCAGAATTTCTTTGTAAATGTCCATTGGAAATGTGTCAGTGGCATTGTTTCATTTTCTCACCAATTGCTAGGAATCCTTTAGAACATAAAGATACATTCTTCGATAAAAATCCCTTGTCAGCTACTTTTGGGCAGACTTTTTCTTAGTCTTTCACTTGATTTTGAACTGTGTGTTTGTGTCTCATGTAGGCACATTTTCTGGTCCTGTGCTTTTAGTTTTTGAACTTGCGGGCATATTGAGAAAGGGGAATTCGAATCAAAACAAGGGCAATAAAAAGGTGAGTGAAGACCTGAGAAAAGTGATAGGTGATCTTAAATCTGGCAAAATTCCATTGAAACATTGCCCTCCTTCATCAAACCTATGAGGCTGTGATTGTAAGATTCACCACTATTTTCTTATCATTAGGAAAGACTACTTGCTGGCAAATTAAGTGGTGTGTTCTTGACTGTTCGATGTGTCCTCATTTCAGGAATGTTAAAGTGGAAAAAAAAATATGCATCTTTTGAATTGATACTATTTAAAGCTGAACTATGCATGGGGTGTAAAATTCAAAGTATATAAATGGGCACACAGGAAAAAGTAAGTCAGAAGGAGTAAATTAGATTCTCAGATATAAGAAATCTACCAAACAGAACACCTCGATGCCCTGCAAGCAAACAGTGTAGATCTTTGGTTTTGACCATTCCC